CTTGTTCATAATCCATAAAAACTGTTTTTCTATATAGGTTGCTATTTTATGCGAAATATTATAACGGATGGTTTTTTAAAGCATAAATTATTAATCTATCTTCTATTTCCAGCGCGAAAAAGTGGACAGACTGAAAAAATCGTTTAAAACAAATGAACGACAGCAACTAATCGATTCGGACGAAGAACAATAGAAATGGAACGCTCTTCATAAATGCAATTAAATTGCAGACAACCAGCCTCAATTGCCAAAAGTGAATGGGTATGCATATAACTATGTGTTATGTTATATCAGTATGAGGCAGCACTATTTACGAAGGTTTGAGTCCAAATTGCGTTGTCACAATTTTTTTTGTTTTAAGCTATGCTAATTTGGCTTTTGACAATAATTACCACATTATCGCTTGTATTCCTTTTCGCTTGTAGATATGTTCTACTTTGCTTTCACAAAATTGAACAAAATGTACCACAGTAGAGCTGCGCAAAGCAACTATAAAATCTTTTTTCTAAATTCCTCTGGCTTTCAAAGAAAGGATTTGAGGCATCTCACAATCTTGTCTATGAAAAAAAAGCGCAGTGCTTTTTTTATTGTTCCTACTTTCCTTTATATCCTAGGTAACTAAGCCATTTTAAGTTTACAGAATATTAATGATTGTAAAAATAACTTTTGGATTGGCACCTTCAATTTTCTCCTACCACTGTAAACTTGTAGCTGAAATTCTTAACGTTCTTTTTTTCTTGTAGAAGATGTAGTAATCAAACAAATAATGAAGCCATAGCTTAATTAATTTGCCAGATACTATGGTGTTCAGCTTCCTGAGCCGAGGACAATTCTAAGTGAAAAATTAGGTAAAAGTGCAATTCTACTAACATATTTCCATATACTGGTATATATCTTAAAGTAGAAAATTTGGAATGATTCTTACCTATGCAATGTCGAAGCTCTTTAGGGCCCTTCTTGTAACTTAGCCAACACTCATTTGACTTCCGCGAGATTTTCTTTGATATTTGTCATTTCTTGTATTTTTGCGTTCTCATGCTTGCTCCTTAGTAATAAATTCCCTTGTTATGTGGGTTATAATACCACAGACATTTTTATGTATGAGTGCATTATAGTTTGAATAAACTAAGTATTGTCGCTTTATTGTTACTACTCTTTTATTCATTGTCACTAGTTCAGTACCAATTGAGGTCAAGGTCGACTCCGCATGGTCCTTTGTAGTCTCCTGCGTACTGGTGAATTGAAGGTTTTGACCATCCTCCGAATGGAACGAAATTAGTGTAATCCTGAAAAGCATTTACACTATTTGGGCGGCATCTACAGTGACATTACAATTCTTTACTTGGTGTCCATTATAGTTGGCCCACCAAAGTGGTCTGCTGGCCCACTGGTTCCAGTTAATTCCAACAATGCTGCCCCAGTTATTATTGTTGGTGTAAATACCCCAGTTGACACCCATTGCCTGAACATGTAATTAGTTGGAAAATTGTAAAGTTGGCAAAAAGGTTTTAAGCCCACGTTTAGTTGGTTGCCCATGGCATTGATGAAGTTTCTGTTGGCGGTCTGATCACTTGGCCAGGCGTAGATTTCTA